TGTATTATTGCAATGTACATTTGGATTATCATTGTGAAATTGAATTTTTCAGGTTTTTGCATCAATACTAACAATAAATCCCAATGGGATTTTTAGATGCATTATATCTTCAAATTCTGAAGTAATGTCTTTGCTATTGCCGTGATTACAAAATAAAAATTGTTCTTTTCATTCTGAAGAAGTTTATATGACTAAGATATATCTATTCTTTGAATATTGGAAGTATTTCATTCACACAACTGTGTGAGCTCAGGGTCATTTTGACTATATACAGTGAGTGAAATTTCTTCCAATTGTATACTGATATTTTAACTCAAGGTTGGATCCTTCATTTTATAAGAAAAAAATTCATTTCATCAGTTTTAAAATAAATGTATTAATTTGTGTATTTAATTATGATAGAAATATTCAGAGCATTAGTTTCTCCTTATAAAAGGGTCCTTCTGTATATTGGGTTCTTATTCCTGGTATTTTTCTTTGTGTTTTCTAAGTTTTCTTCATTGAATTGAAGAACTTATCTCTATTATTTATTTTAAATGGCAAACTAACCTACATTTATTTGTCAGTTTAACAATTTCTAAATTTGATACACATTTTAATTGCATTATTTTCTCACTTCTGTACCTATCTTGTTTTAAACTTAATTTGGAAACCACATTAATTTACTTTGATTATTTCTCATGTGACCATATTAACAAATTTATTAATCGGTGCCACTCAAACTCTATAAACATGTACCCATTTTGTCCTGTCATTTAGTGTTCCATGGAAGAAATCTGCTGCGCTATAGAGTTATTTTTTCTTCATGTTTTATTATAGATTTAAAGTTGTAAATATTGTATACATTATAAAATATATACCAATAGGAGAAATTTTAAGGGACTAAGTAAATATATTATAAAATATTATCAATTTATTTAGCAGAAGAATGCAACAATTTTCCCCCTCAAAATATCCTGATTAAATATTAAAGAAAATATTACATGAATAATGTATTAAAGGAATGTGACTGAAAATGCTTAATTTCTTAAAATTTTGGTTTGACTTTTTATAAGACATTAAATTGAAGATCTGGTTCTGATTACAGTATACATCTATACATGTTTAAAATTATCATTTTTTAAGCATGATTTTGATGACTATAAAGAAACTATAAATATACAGAAAGACAAATGGAATGAGGTTATTAATCACTGTGTATACTAAATATTCATTACTACTGAGTTTATAATTCTGACAAATAAATATACCAAGGTTTTTTGGAAATTCCATTTTTCCTAACACAACATTTTCATATAAATTAATCAAAAGACATTGCCTAAATGGCCCTTATTATCATCATTGTCTTTTAAAAGTTCATTCAAAGCTTATTGCAACTCTACACTAACAGATTTTTAAAAATTCATTAGAATATTTATTTCATCATTTTTATGTGAATAAATATGAAAGTGTTGTGGGGGATACAATCATTTCTGTGAACAAAGTTATAAATGATGAAAATATTTATCCAATGTCCCCTCCATAGCAGAGGATTATATTGAAAAAGTAATTGTTTTACTTCTTGTTAAAATATCAACTTTCCTTTGACAAATGGTTTTTAGTCTTATTTTTCTTTTTTGATTTTCTTATTTTGAGATCATTATAGATTTGCATGCAATTGTAAGAAATAATACTGAAAAGCCTATGTATCATTTACTAAGTTTTTCCCAAAGGTAACACCTTGAGAAAATGTATCACAACATCACAGCCAGAATACTGACATCAGTACAATTGAGACATAGAATAGTGCATCTCTGTAAATCAACTCGTGTTGGACGTGCTTAGTCAGACCCACTTCTCTCCCATCCACATCCTCACTAATAACAGGAAACCATTAACTGCTATCCATTTTCATTTTTCATTATAAGAATTTAGAAAAAATGAAGGGCTGGGAGTATAACTCAAGTGGTAGAGGGCTTGCCTAGCATGAACAAGGTCCTGGTTTCAATCCCAAATACTGGCAAAAAAATTTACAATAATGGAATAATGTATTTGGTTTTTTTCATTCAACATAATTCTCTAGGAATTCACTTTGTTTGTTTCATATCAATAGTTCATCCCTTTGTTTTATTTCTGAGAAGTATACCAAAGTATAGATACATCACAATGTATATCGTCAATCAATCATTATCCATTAAAGGACATTTAAAATCTTAGCATTTGAAGATGTTATGAATGCAGTAAACTGTAACCATTCATGTTTTTGTGTGATGCCATCTTTCTCTGCAACAAATACCCAGAAGTAAAATTACTGGATTGTGTGGAAGTTTAATGCACAGGTTTAAAAAACTGCTTATCTTTTTTATCTTTTTTTCCAGTACTGGGGCTTGAACCCAGGGCCTTGTGAATGCTAGATAAGTGCTCTACCACAGGAGTTATGCCCCAATCCCTTTGAGGTTTTTTAATTTTGATTTTGAGTCAGGATTTCTCTAGCTTTGCATTGGCTGGTTTCAAAATTACTATCCTACAACGTCTGCCTTCCAACTAGTTGGGATTAAAGGCAAATGCCATGCTAATCTGTCCTCTAGAATAGCTATACCATTTATACTTCCACCAGCACTGTATAAATCATCCAGTAACTTCGCTCCTCACCAGCACTAGGTATTTTTAGTATTTTTTTTTACCTATTTTAGTATGTGCATAGTGATGTATCCTTGTGATCTTAGTAAGCATTTCCTTAAAAGTGAATAATGGTGAACATTTTTCTTGTTTTGTTTCTTGGCTTGGTTGTAGTTTGTGGGAGTGTTTTTTTTTTTGTTTTTTTGTTTTTTTGTTTTTTTGCATTGTTTTAATCACCTTTCTAGTTGGGCTACTTAACAGAATTTTTTCTAATTTCCAATTTTTAAACTCCATTAATATGAAGAAATGTTTGTTTGAATGTTCTTACATTTATTCTGAAAGACGGAAGGCTGGCTGGCTTTTTTTAATGACAATAAGAGACTTTCTGGTTACATCATTGGTCCTTTTACTTTTTTAAAACTCTATTTGGCTTTTCTGAGTTGAGCTCAAAACTATAGACCTTATGTGCTTCAGAGAAATCTCTGATCAGTTTGATCATACTTCTTTTGTAAGAATAATTATTTTTTTACTTCTTAGGTGCTTTGGAGTTTTAAATATACCCTTGAAATACAAATTATTCACCGATAATATTAACCCTCTTCATTAAATTTTTCCACTAGTTGAAAACTGGGTTGTTAGTGAATACTGATTGTAATGATGAACACTCTATGTGGTCTCACTGATCCCAGAATACAGCTTTCAGAGTCCTCTCCTACTTCCATACAATACTACCTATTCACACAACAATGTCAACGTGATCTTTCTACATGACATAGGTGAAAATCTCTTTTCAGTGCTTCTGATATTCAGATGAGTTTCTTCATCTATAGAATAAAGACAAAATCCCTTAGCATGGACTAAAACATTACTGATGCAAAATATCCAAAACACTGATCACATCTTTGTTTTCTACTTTGTGCCAATTCTGTTTTTTACCAATCCTAATGGTGTTTTTATTTTACTTTTTTCTTATGATGTTTCCCTAACTATATTAAAGTTCTTTTTCATTTATCAAAGCTTCTCAACCAGTTTTCTAACTTCATCTCATAATTTTTCCATTAGAATTCTGGATTACAAAGATAATAAGAAAGAAGAGCTTCATGATAATCAACTGAAAATTAGAAACAAATATGCAACTAGGATCCCTTTAAGTCTGGGGGACCTCCTAAATATGTGGCCTTAATATGTTGCTCTTGGTTATCTTTTCCTCTATCTTCATGTGATTTTTTTTCCGAAATTCCATTGGCTCTCTTAGACATCAAGATAAAGTTTCAGCAAAGCATAGTTTAGTAGAACCCAAACAAGGCAGTTAGGATTCAAGATCTGCCACATGAAGCACATAGGGATGCACACATATAATTCCAGCAGTTGTGATGCTGACAAAGGAGGATTGCAAGATTCAGGCTAGCCTGTTCTACATAGGAAAAACCTGTCTTAAAACAAGCAAACAAACAAACCAAAAACAATCTGCCACTTAACGGATATTCCTTATGTTCTTTGAGATCAGTGACATAACATAAAGAATAAAGATGTAAGAAAACCAAGTCATGCTTGTAAGCCATTCTTGATATGTGCTAGCTCCTTTTCATCTCTCAAGTTCTAGCCTGGTAAGAAAGATTCATGAAGACTCGAAAAACCACTAGGTGCCCTAGTCACTACATGCATTTTAATTATAAATACACTTCTACAGTTTGGATAAGTTCATGTATATGTGTTCTTGAATGAGAACATGAACATTGGGCATATTTCTTAAAGTTTTGCTTTCAGAGTCAGTGGAGTCAGTGGCTCACACATGTAATCCTAGTTATTTGGGAGGCCAAGTATGGAAGGATCACGGTTCAAGGTCAGACAAGGCAGGGAGTTCATTAGATCACATCTCAATGGGAAAAAAGCTGGGTGTTGTGGTGCGCACCTGTCATCTCAATGAAGGCATGATGGATGTGGTCTAGGCCCGCCCAGTCAAAAAGCGAGACCCTCTCTCCAAATAACCAGAGCAAAACACGCTGGAGGTGTGGCTAAGCAGTATATTGCCTGACTCCCAAGTGCAAAGCTCTGAGTTCAAACTCCAGTACCACAAAAATAGTAATAATAATAAATTTCAGAAACATCGTCTCCCAAAATATGTCCTCTGATGTTTGTTTCAGAGATTCATGATTCTGATTTTGCATGGCTTTTCCATATACGTTACTATGCAAGCTGGGAAATATAAACTTCAGAATCTGACTCAGGCCCATTTCAGAACTCAGGGACTGGATATTCTTTCTTGTATCTTTATTCTTAAACAACACATGATCTTTCCTCTTACAACTGAGATCCTGACCTTACCTCTTTCCCTGACACTAAGGAGGTATCAGAAAAGAAATCCAATCAAAATTCTCTCTGTGACAGCACTGGAGATTTATGTCTATATCGATGGCTACAGGAAACTGGACAAGAGTAAATGAATTTATCCTCATGGGCTTCTCTTCGCTGCCTGCTGAAATACAGTTGTTGCTCTTCCTGGCATTCCTAACCATCTACCTGGTCACCCTGATGGGAAACAGCCTCATCATTCTGCTTACCTTGGCTGACCCCATGCTGCACAGCCCCATGTATTTCTTCCTCAGGAACTTGTCTTTCTTGGAGATTGGCTTCAACCTAGCCATCGTTCCCAAAATGCTGAGTACCCTGCTTATCCCAGACACAACCATCTCCTTCCTTGGCTGTGCCACTCAGATGTACTTCTTCTTCTTCTTTGGGGTATCGGAATGCTTTCTCCTGGCCGCCATGGCATATGACCGCTACACAGCCATCTGCAGTCCCTTGCATTACCCAGTTATCATGAACCAAAGGACATGTGCTAAACTGGCTGCTGCTTCCTGGTTTCCAGGATTTCCTGTAGGTATTATGCAGACCACGTGGCTCTTCAGCTTTCCATTCTGTGCCACCAACAAGGTGAATCACTTCTTCTGTGACAGCCCACCTGTGCTGAGGCTGGTCTGTGCAGACACAGTATTTTTTGAGATCTATGCCATTGTGGGAACCATTCTGTTTGTCATGATACCCTGTTTGTTGATCGTGTGTTCCTACACTCGCATCGCTGCTGCCATCCTCAAGATTCCGTCTGCTAAAGGCAAGCATAAAGCCTTCTCTACCTGCTCCTCCCACCTCCTTGTTGTCTCCCTCTTCTATGTATCTTTAAGCCTCACCTACTTTCGGCCTAAATCAAATAATTCTCCTGAAAGCAAGAAATTGTTATCGTTGTCCTACACTGTTGTGACTCCCTTATTGAACCCCATTATCTACAGCCTGAGAAATAATGAGGTGAAGAATGCCCTCAGCCGGACCTTTCACAAAGCCCTTGCCCTCAGAAATGGTACTCCTAAAGACATTATCGGGTAAGGTTAGCATTTATTGAATGAAGAACAATAAGTCTCATATTTGAGCTTTCTCTCTGCCTCCTTTTCTCTTACAATTCCTCCATTTGGGGAAGAATCAGTGCCAAAAATGGCTTTAGAAAAGGAATATAGCCCATCTCCTTCACAACAACCACACACAACAATAACCATCCCTGACGAATATTAGGTGACCATAATTCGGGAGGCTGGCTGTTATCTGTGTAGTGATTCTCGACTACTGTTTGTCCGATATAGCGTGCCATCTGCGACCTTATACGCCCGGAGGATGCGTCATGTGATACTTGAGATTATTCCATAGCTCTGGTGCACATCATGGCTGAGTTTGATGGGGTAATGTAGGAGTGGACGTAGGCAGACATCACCAGGTCTTAGGTGCGCAAATGGATGTTGCCTGCACATGGAGCCGATGGAATGTACGGCTGGCACTATTTCCTGTGTTCGCTTGTGTGCGCTTGTATATCGAAAAGAAACATAGAAGTAGTTTTAGACCTATTACTACCACTTGAAAAAACTTCTCTTGCCCATTGTAGACTTACATTCTTTTTCTTATTGGTTTCTTACTGGTTTTTTCAACAGTTCTATATTCAAGTATTACCTAGATGTTCATATTCCTATATAATATACACCGTGGACAGTCTTAAACTGCGGTTGGTATTTTTTAAATGGGGGCATTGAACAGAAAAAGAAGCAAAACCCCATCAGAATCATCTTGTTATTTCGCTTCCTTTTGAGCAAATCTCACCTCCTCCAATTTGTCAAGTGGGAAAATTGCTGTGGTTCCCTCCAGTGCTAACTTTCCTGAACTGGCCTTACTTTGTCTCATGCCTTGAGCAATTGGCTTTATTTCTTTTAAGCTTACTGGTACACAATATAGATGTAAGGGAAGTGGATCAATAATGCTTCATGTACCTTCATAATTCAATGATCAGTTTCATCTTCATTAGAATTCTTCCGGAAGAATGGCCAAGATCCCATAAGTTCTGTGTCTCAATTTAGGTTGTCACATTTGTGAAGAATATCATCATGGGGCTGCTTTCATCAGAACTTACAATTTAGATCCTAAGCTGACTCTAGCATAGGTCTTCATTACCACCAATAATATTTCTTATTTTTATGTGCTAATAGTACTTTATTTTATAAACATGCATATTTTTATTTGACCAGTCTTTTTATTATTAACAAAACCATTGCTATAAAATAACAGCCTTACACTTCTAAGATTTTGCTAGATTATGTCTCACAATTGGAAACTACATTTCTTGGAAAAGGTTAATACACATATATATTACTTAATGGCCAAATTCCTGCTCCAAAGCGGATTTGCACCAATTTTCAACTACAAGTAGCAACTTAGAAGTTACTTTTCTTCATAGCCTAAATAAAACATTTGTTATGAAAGTCAGGAATTTTGCTTATTTAATATGTTTTAAAATATTCAGTAAAATTTAATTGAATGAAATAAATTTTAAAGGAATAAGAAAAATAAGTGAGTTAATTAAAGTAATTCAAAATTTCTGAGGTTCATAGTTCAGATAATTAGCATTGGAATGTATTATTATTCTATTTTGTTCCTTGAAAGATTCTTTTCACTTTTTAGTTTTGCAAATCCCAACTCCATCTTCAAGTCCACTGATTCCCAGGCAGCATAAAATTACTCCTATGTGCCTTCCATTTTTTTCTTTTTGGGAAACAGGTTTTATTTTTTTTTCCAAAAAAACAAATTCTATTTGATTATTTTTTATATTTGTCTTTCATTTTTGAAAGAAAATCGAGTTCAACAATTGTTTCTGTTTTAATATACACATAGGCACTCCTGAAGCTTTATGCTCTGCAAATTCTGCACTAAAAATATTTATGAGGAAGTAGAGTTAGAGAGTATGGGCCATACTCAACTATATACAACTTTGAAACTAGGCACTACTAGAAACCAAAATTATGCCTGGTAAGGCAACATGGACTGCCCAGACAGGGCAGTAGTGAAGCTAGAGTTGCCATAGTAATACTTAACATGCACAATAACAAGTGGGAATGAAAATGCCAATAATGCTTTCATTACAGCACATTTGGTTCTAGGTAATGCCAGTATGGGATGTGATAAGCTTGAAGTAGTAGGGCCAGTCATTACATAGTATGGGAATCAGTTGTCATTATCAAGCATCAAAAATTTGCACAAAACCAAGATACCCTATCTGTGGATGGAGGACTTAGGCTAGGAACAATTTTAAATGTTGTGAAAACTTCTATAATTAGCCAAGAAGACTCCTGACACTACAGTGTTGGACATTTAAACTCAATGTTAAATATTATTTCTTCATCTATTCGGTTCATCTTGCCCAAGAAAATATTTCATATTACAAATTAATCTTCTTTGGATTTTTGTAGTATGTACAAATGAATAAATGAATGATAGACCAGCTGAGAAATTATGGTGACAAAGAGTTAGACTGGTATTGAGAAACAATTAATCCTAATTAAATTTGGAGGAATAATTGATAGGATTTGATGGCTTGATTAATTGAGGAAATGCAGTGCTCAGAAAGAAGGATTATTCTTGGGAAGACCAGAGCAGATAATTCCTGTGACAGAGACATAGGTGTTCTAAAAGTCTAGAAGGAGATCCATAAGACATGGAAAAGAGATTTTTTTCAGAGAAGACTAATCCTAAAGCTTTTGTCTTCAAATCTGTGTGTTATGAATCCTCTTTCACTTTTTTAGAATATCTAACCCCAACCAACAGAAAATTGGACTTGCAAAGATTACACCATAAGCCAGCTTCCCTAAGATCAGTATGGAAGACCCATGATCAAAGATGGTGATGAGGGCCAGAAGCAGACAGGGTGAGCTCCGTGAATCAAAATCTTTGCTGAGAAGCTGGAGCCCAATTTGGTGGAAATTTAAAAGCACCAAAGGGGAAATCAATACTCAAACACCCTGGAACCCCTATCCATAGACAGCTTCTCCATGCCACATTATAATGAGAAAACAGGAGGGCTCCCACTGCTGCCAGATGCCAGCTCCAAACCTGCTTGGGAGACATTAGGCAGACCAAACAGGTGAGCACAAAGTGTCACTTGGTATTACCCCAGCCACCCCAGGGATAAACCAGCACAGCCCCCTGGCAGGACTGACTCCACCCCTACAAAAAAAATATAACATAAATAAGGAACTGAAAAACTAACACACAGAAGAGGGGGCAGGACACTGAAGCACACCAGAGAAGGGGGAAGGGCCAAGGAGCTGATCTCCACATGAACTTTCAGTAAACAAAGACTGGAAAAGCAGAAGAGGGCCAACAGCAGGTGGGTGAAGCTGCTGCCTAAAAATAGGGCAGGTAGTGGGTCCAACAAAAAACTCATATCCGGAGTCAGTTGAGCAACATCCAAATCAAAAAGACCCTACAAAATTAAAAACAATCAGCAAACCATCACACATACTGACGCAGGGGAGCAAGCTGCAATCACTGACCTTGCCCCCAGAAAAAGGGATGAGGCAAAGAAACAGCCCCTATAAAACAAAAACAATGAAAATCCCAACTCCAAAGCAGGACAGCTGATGAGCTAACAGAGTGATCTCCAGAACCTGAAGAAAAAGCCCATACGTCAGAGGGAGGAGCTGACTAGCAGTTGCACTGGAAAAGACAGAAGAAAAAAAAAAACTGGCAGACTCCCCAACACTTGAGCGAGACTAGGGGACAGGAGCCTCTGCTTAAAATACCAACACCAAGACTGGATGGCTGAAGGAAGTAACACCAGAAAAACTACTAAGACTGAAATTCTACTGTTCCTGAAGTGGAATTTTTGTGTGCTTGTTGTTTGTTTTCTTTCTGTTTCTGGTCGTTTGTGTGTGTGCGTTTTGCCCCAATCTCTCCCCTGTTCATTTCTTTGGTTTTTTTTTTTTTCCTTTGCTTTTGGGGATTTTTATTGTTGGTTGTTTTATTTGTTCTGTAGTTTTTACTTACTGCTGAGTTATCTAATACTAAATTTACACACAGGACAGGGGACAGGAAATTAGCATACATACACTAACCTAAAAAACCCAACCACACCCAACAAACAAAATTAAACCAAGGGAAGGGAAGAAAACAGGTGGGCTGAAAACCACCAATGGCCTATCAAGAACATAGTTACATTAGGTACCAAGTGCATGATTAGGAAAATGAAAAAAGGCGATGGAACCATTCTCCCCCCAAAAACATAATTTATAACAAGATTCGAGGGAATGAAGAAAAATTGGATAACCCAGTTTCAGACTCCAACAAAAAACAAAGATAAATTGATGCCAAGGAACACAAATGAAGCCCAAAAGAACTCCTGAAAGAAGAATACTGCAAGTACTCACTGGAAGAATTTCATGGAGATGTTACTAGCATGAGCAACCAAAACTGCAAGAGGCACTTAAGAAATTCCAAGACACCCAAAAATATAAGATACAAGAAAAATGTTTGCCAGCTATACATCAGACAAAGGATTTAATAACAGAAATATATAGGGAACTTAAAAAAAACTAATTCTCCAAAATCAATGAACCAGTAAAGAAATGGGCAACTGAACTAACAGAACTTTCTCAAAAGAAGAAATTCAAATTGGCCAAAAAGCACATGAAAAAATGCTCACATCTCTAAGCCAAAAAGGAATACATCAAAACCAAAACTTAACATTCCACCTCACCCCGTTTAGAATAGCTATCATCAAAAACACCAACAACATGTTGTTGGCGAGGTTGTGGAGAAAATGGACCCTCGTTACATGGCTGGTGATGCAGGCTAGTGCAACCCTCTGGAAAAAATATGGACGGTTCATTTAAAAAATCTAAACAAGAGCTTCCATATGATCCAGCATCCCACCCCTGGGGATATATCACAAAGGAATGGCAACAACAGGTTACTCCAGAGACCACCAGCACACCCGGTTTATTGCAGCACTATTCACAATAAGCCAATTTATGGAAACAGCTAAGATGCCCACCACACAGATGAATGAGTAA